TTGAATTTCTATTTGTGGCCAACGTGCAGTTCTTCTCCGCTTAATTGTTGTTATTTTAGTGCTCGACATTTCAAAATCTTTTTCATTTTGACGCCAGCGACGTACCATTGACTCGTCAATATTCAGATGTTTAGCAGCATATCTGTTACTTTTCGCTTTAGCAAGTTGGATTGCTTCTAATTTAAATTTTGCTGTATATGAGTGTCTTTTTGCGGTTTTTGCGGACATTCTACAAAGATAAAATATTATTAATATAAAGTAGCTGAATAACTCGTAAACGCCTTTATTAAATATAAACAACTTACCTAATTATTATTCGTGATTTAGAACTTACCTTAATAAACAGTAACCTAACCTCTCTCAAAACAGCCAGCTAACAATAAGAACACCATGCGACCGGCGCAGCGCACATTGCAGAAAGAAATAAACAAAATGACCCTTACTGCCCAACACATCTGAATGTGTGCGGCTTATAATCGAGAGCGGTTTGTATTTGAGTGCGGCTTATATTTGTGTGCGGCTTAGTAGGGATAAAATGTAGAAAAAATGAAAAAAGTATAACATTTAATAAGCCGCGGCTTATATTGAATGCGGCTTCTAGCGGAAAAACAGGGTACCTGGAGGAAATGTGTAATGAACGATGTATGGTATGTTCCGGAGTTGAAGAAAAATCTTTTCTCAGAAGGAGCAGTCACCAAAAAAGGGATGAAAGTAGTCAAAGAAGGAAATGAAGCTAAAATATAAAACTATCACAGTTCTTCCTGGCCGCTAGCTCTCCCAGGTATCTTCTTTCTTTCCTCCTTCTTCGGGGGTTGTGGGGACCATTTCCTTTTTTCTTCTCTGTTATCGCTTTTTTAAAAGTATCGCACTTTCCAGATCCAGCCATATGACCCGCTTTTTCGCATAATGGACAAAACATAGGTATCTCACATTCTGCGGAAGAGTGTCCCTCGTTACCACATTTGTAACATAGTTTTCTACGGTCTGACCCGGAGCATTCTTTACTTGAGTGCCCGTAACACCAGCATTTGAAGCATTTTTGAATTTCAACTCTCTTTTCCATTCCACATTTCGAGAATCCCACTATCAGTTTTTATGCTGTAACAGCAACGAGACTTTCTTTTTTTCCAACTTGATGGTAACGGCCTGCGTGTTGTCCCTCATGGCGCAATTCTCCAATCTTAAGACAACAGTCTGTACTTCCTATCGCCTTCCTGATTGCCTGTTCTACCTCCTCTTTCCTCGCCAGCGCGTCCATACCTCTGATATGAATCACTTCCAGTTCTTCATCCATTAGTTTTTTAATATTCATTTCTTTCCTTTCGTCATTACGCTTCATGGCTTCGCTTATCTTGTCTATAATTCCGCCTTCTCTATCGGTGGTAATCAACAGTTTACCTTCTTTAGTGCTTCTTATACATCTTATTCCCTCACTTATATTTTCCTTTGTCAATACTTGTTTTACTTCCTTCAGAGTCTCTGTGTAAGACTTATCTTTATTCTCTACAACCAAAGCGTATGATTTTCTTATTGGTGGTCTGTTTATCTGCTCTACTTCATCCTTGTCCGGAGTATAAATTACAACTTTTGTTCTGGACGAATGAAAAACGCCTTCAACAATTTTTCTGAAACGGTACACATCCATTCCTTTCATTTTATGAACCGCAACCCAATCGTTTTCTAACACCTCTTCTTTCAATTTTACCACGTTATCAAAAAGTTCATGTTCTGACCGATCATAAACTATTTTGACAATTTTTTTATTTCTGTTCTCGATTATATTATTAATCTTTATTTTATGATTTTGTTCCACCACCCCAAAATTCGCTTTAATTTCTTCTAGTTCGGGAAACCGTATTTTGAAGGCTTCCCTTCTCCATTTGAGCATCCTTTGAGTCCACGATCACTTTCTTAATTTCTGTATTCGTGAATGATTTCTCAGTCCACTCTTTGTCACCATGTTCCAGAAAATCTTCATAAGTTTTAATTTCTTCATTCCTGTATATTGTCATCGCTTCTGTTTTGCTTTCGTTCGCGCTAATATCTGTCTGCACTTCAACATCATAAACCATTTTCTCCACGGGGTCGTAACTATTTCTCTCTATCCATTCTTTTATAGATTTCCGATTTATAATTTCTATCTGCCTTTTCAATTTCACAGCCATTTCCTTTATGTCCTTTTTAGTGTTCTGTTCGATATTCCTTTGTAGATTCTCGTTTAGTTTTGTAATGCACTCTAGGGCTTCTTTGAGCACAAAAGCTTCTGCGCTCTCTTTGTGGGTATATGGATCTTTATGTTCCAGCGAAGTTTCCATGACCTTTCTTTTCTTCTCGGTGGTTTAGTTGGAAATCTCTTGTATATGCCTCTTTTTTATCGTCTTTTCTATGCCACCTTTCTCGCCCTGGCTGTCGCAGCCCTCTTTCCCCTCTACCAATTTCCACCTTAAAGGTTATGTAGAGGTGGTCACTTAGGTTTTCCACATCGTTTACCTTCCATGCGGTGACGCTCTTGGCCAGCTCTATATTACACATTGTGATATCTATGTAGGAATGTTGTTCTCCTCTCTTCCATGTGGGGGTGCTTCCACTATTCATAACGACTAAGTTTCTTTCGGCCATACCTTTTTTAGATATCTGCCCCTTTCGTCTTCCACATTGGATCCCCATGCCGCAGATTTGGAGTTGAAATCACCCATAACAATCATGTTTTTGGTTTTATTTTGCTGTATAATGGAAAAACGATATTTTCCAATTTATCCTTAAAATCACATAAGGGCTCATTTGGTGTTAGGTAGCATCCACTATCACTATTTTTATACCAATTTCCACATTTAACTTTATTTTTATTTGGTTCAGACAACATCACAACATCTACACCCTGTTCACGAACGTATAACTCCACTAGGTTCATTGCTTCTGTGCTTCTATTTACATTGGCCTGCATTATTTTAACTGTTTGAAACATTTTTAGTTTATTATCTGTGTTTGTTGGGCCTGCTTTGTTTCTTTGGCCCATTCCTTCCTCCAAACTTGTCTTTCCGCCCTTCTTCTTGTGTTTAGTTCCTTTTTAAAATTCTCACACCTTCCTGACCCTGCTCTATTGTAACGAAGTTACATTTTTTTTTCCGAAAAATTTATAACATCCGAATATACTTCCCACATTACCCGACCTCCTACAGTTTCCGCCCGATTTAGAAAAATCCAAAAATTGATACCTTATTACCACCCACTTATGCAACTTTATTCACATTTTCCTTAATTTCTCAATTTCCTTAATTAAACTTCAAATTTTCATATTAATTCATTTAAAACCGTTAAACCTTTTTCCGAAAACGTTTCCTGACCGAATTTCAAATAAACAAAAGCAATTAGTGGAAATCGCCGAACGACGTAATTACCGAAAGCACATGGTTTCTGAAAATTATTATTTAAAATAATTAAATAACACCACAACGAAGTAAAATACGAAGAAGTATCAGTAATCAGTGTGTTACTGTAAACAAGGCCGACCGTCCCGAGTGAGTTTCAGCAGCCAGCGAGCTACCGTTCAGCTACCGTACAGCGACTATTTTTTATGATGCGGAATTAGAAATCGTAGAACAATCAAACCGATTTCAAACAATTACTAGTATCATGAAATAACCGTTGAATGATTCTAAAGACGATCCGATTATGATTAACATGATTATTAACCAAAATCATCCCTCATCTTAATTAATTAATTTACTTCATTCCTGATGGTCACCGCCCAACCGCTGAAGCTACTTTGTGTTGAAGTGCGCGTTAATTAATACTGATTAATCGAAGTTAACGTGAAACACGCGGTCGGGAAAATGTTTATGTATGTAAGTGCCGTAAACGCTAACCAATTTTGATAATTATATTTTTGTAATTTTCCACATAAATAAGGGTATCTTTTGAATTATGTTATAAATTTTTCCGATAATTATTTTTAATTAATTGTTAATTACTCCGCTATTCCTTAATCAATTTAATCCGCTCAAAAAAGGGATTTAGTTAATTTTGTACCCCGCATCCGATAGCGCCGTTAAAATTTTGCTATTGTCATTAATTAACCCCCCACATTATAATTTAGTTTTGATAACTTGTTTTAATACGATCCTCCACTCGGAAAAATCCAGTTTTCACCCCGAACAAGTATAAATAGCCGGTCAAAATTTCATTTTGGATCAGTCTTCAACTGTCTTGAATCAGTCTTCAACTGTCAGAATCAGTCTTCAACTGTCTCAATCAGTCTTCAACTGTCAGAATTAGTCTTCGAAATTCTTCAAGAGTCTTCAGCTGTCATCAACCGTCTTCAAGAAGTTCGCCAGACTTCACCGAAAAATCTCCGAGTTTTGGAAATAAACGAGTTTTATCGTAAGTTTTGTTTTTGGTCTTGCAATTGTGGGACTTTGATTTTATTTTGTGAAACAAATTTTCATCCAATCTCCCGACCTGGTGTTGCTGCGAGTTTTCCGCAGCAACACCAACCCTCTCTCAAACACACTGAATCTCCGACTGTAACCCTCAAAAGCTACTTGGAGGCGAAAGAGTTCCTTAACTCTCTAAACATAAGGTGGCGCCCGAGACCGATAACATCCCGAACATAAAAAAGAGGCACCAAGACCCCTTTCCTAGGACCGAACCAGGAAAGGACGTCGCACTATGTCCACTGTGCTCACATATTGGGCAATACTCCTCATTTTTGCAGTCCTTCGCTGCATGGCCCTCTTTCCCGCATCTAAAGCAGAGCATAACCCTGTCCGGTCCCGAACAATCCTTGCTCGAGTGACCGTGTCCCCAACATCTATAGCACCTTTGTACTTCTACCCTCTTTTCCAAGTTGCATCTCGCATAACGAATCTTAATGTTACCCTGCCTTAACAGCATTTCAGCACCCTTTCTCTCCATTTTAATAGTTATTGATATTGTCTCATCCCTCATTGGCCTGAGATCACCCATTTTTAAATCGTATCTCCCTTCTCCTACGATCTCTTCTATGGCTTTCTTCGTATCTCACATTTTTCAACTAATGCGTCCATACCTCTTATATGTATAGTGTCTGTATCTCCATCTCTCAGCTGTTTTACTTTCATCTCTTTATTTCTAACAATGGCCTTAATTTTTTCTATCTTGTCTTTATCTTTATCCATTACAACTAATAGTTTTCCTTCTCTGGTACATCTAATACTTTTTATTCCCTCTCCTATGTTTCCCTTTTGTAGTCTCTCTTTTACTTCCTTTAAGGTGTCTGTATATGACTTGTCTTTATTTTCCACGACAAAAGCATATGTTTTTCTTTCTTGTTTCTCTACGGTCTTATTTTTTTCCATTTCTGGTGCATATATCACAACCCTTGTTTTCGTACCATGAAAATTGGATTCTATTACTTTTCTTATGGTATTCGTGTCTCTTTCTTCTATTGTATGACATGATATGCGTTCGTCATGCTTTACTTCCTCCCTTAGCAATCTAAAGCTTTCAAAGCGATCCTCATCAGTTCCCTTACAGGTAATTTTTATTATTTTTCTTCGCCTTGTTTCACTTTGGTCTTTCGTTTTTATTTTGTGAATCTGCTCAATGACACCAATATGCTCTTCGATATCTTCTATCTCGGGGTATCTTTCTTTAAATTTCCTCTGTATGCCCCTCTCCATCCTCGGATCTCCCGGGTCAGCCAGAACTACCAATACAGTGCTATCCTTTGCGTGTAATGGAATTCCTATTAATACTTCTGTGTTTTCATAACTTTCCTTAGTCCATTTTTCCTCTTTTACTGTTTTAAACTCTTCATACTTCTCCACAGTTCTTTGTAGTGTAAACATTCTTTGAATATTTGTTTGTGTTGCTATTTGTTTTTTATTTATTTCAGTTTGCGTTCCTTTCTCAGCTTTCTCTGTCATCTTTTTCCCCAATTCCACTCTCATCTCTATATTACTTTGTATTTTATCTATCTGTGTATTTAATAGATGCATTTTTTCCTCCCTTTCCCTTTCTTCTTTTTCATATATCCTCCGCAGCCCTTTTATCCCTCCATGAAATTCTCTAATTCTATTTTTTAAAGGAACTGCAGTGTTCTGTTGTATTAACCCTACCATTTCCTCTATCTTTCTCGTTAAATCATCTATGATATTTTTAGTGGTCTTTCCTTTTTTCTCAGTTTCCTTCTTTTCCATTTTCTCCATTTCTATCCCTCTCATTGCTTCTAATTCTTTGTCTAATGACACACTGGGTTTCCTCTTACCCTCTCTTCCCTCTTCACTTTCATCATCCTCCTCTCTCTTTCGAATACGTGCTCTCGCCCCTTCTTCTTTTCTACCATCTGTTCCCCTCATCCATCTCTTCCCCTCATCCATCTCTTCCTTCTTTCGGTCTTTCCCCAACGCTGCTCTATCTTCCATAGTGCAGTTTATGTTTTTGAGTGTGGGACTATTCTAGCCCCGAACTACCCACTAAAAACCCCCCCTCTTTTCATCTCCGGAATCCGCCGGGAGGCGTTTCTTCGGAGTTGAGTACTTCATTTTGTTCATGCTACCTCATTTTTCGTCTGCTCCTGTCTTTCCCCCCCACGCGTTCACGATGTCGACACATAAGAAGGGAGAAAAATAAAAACCATTACTTTTTGCAAAGCTATTTCATGGCATACGTACCCGGTGGGGGGAGCCATCGTGGCTCCCCCTCCTCTTCTTTCAGGACGTTTTGTTTTCAGCATCTTGTCATGTCCTCCCCCTCCTTCCGCTCTCAAAATGTTGACACATATGAAGGGAGAAAAAAGAACACTATTACTTTTTGTAATGTTATTTCTTACTGTACATACATACATATTACATACATATTATTGTCATGTGAGTATGCTTTGTGGTAGGGCATTTGGATCGTTGAAGGCGCTTTATGGTAACAGGAATATTCTTTCTTGTGAATTGAAACGACTCTTGTGTGATTCACTAGTTCTTTCCCATTTTAATTATTGTAGTGCTGTGTTTAGTCCGTGTTTATCGTATGACAGTGCTCGTAGGGTGCAAGTAGTTCAAAACTCTTGCTTACGTTTTATTTATGGTATCGGGCGTAGAGAGCATATTTCTGATAAGCTATTGCTCTGTAGGTGGCTGAATATGGGACAGAGATTCACTATTCACTATCTGTGTCTGGTATATTCAGTGTTATTTCATGGGAAGCCTCCTTATTTGGTTAATAAAATAAAGTTCAGGACTGATGTTCACCACCTTAATTTGAGGCATCGTTCCTGTGTTACCATTCCTAGGCACAAATCTACCAAATTTAAGCAATCGTTTTCGTATCAAGTGGCTAGGATGTGGAACGTGATCCCTGATTCCGTGAAGTGTGCTGGCTCTATCGCGAAATTTAGATTTTTAGTGTTGCGAGACAGGTTGTATGGTCGACTATAGGTTTTTCGTGCTTGGTTAGTTTTGTTTTAATGATTATGAAATTTGGTACTATGTAAATAAGTTTCATTATTGCTCAGTTTTTTCTATTTTTTATTTTATATTATGCATTTTTATTTTGTTTGTTTATTCTTTTTTTTTGACTCACGGTAGAAGTTAAACCAGATTTTTATCTGTTCTTTCACCATTTGTGCTAATATATCTAATTGAGTTATTATTGATTAATTTAATTATTTTATTGATTTGTATTTTTTTTATTGAATATTATGAATTGTATTTTTTTTTTGTTTGTTGTATCATGTGTTGGCACAATAAATAATTATTATTATTATACCGGGCAGGGGGAGCCATCATGACTCCCCTCTTCTTCTCCCAGGGCTGTGTAATTTAATTCCGGGTGTTGTTTCAGCGGCCAGTTCTATGGGGTTCCCCGTATATCTGGCCTCGCTCATACTCTCTTCTTCCCCCTCTTTCGCCTTTATCACCTTCCTGGCATATGCTTCTATACTATTCCAGTTTTCTTCCTTCTCTAGCATTATATTTACGCAGTTTTCAGGCGTCAGTACTTTTCCCGATCGTTCTATTTACTGTCTTCCTCTCTTCTCTCCATCTATCGCATACAAAGAAAGTGTGTTCCGCGTCGTCGACCACGTCTCTCTGACAATCGTCACTTTTTTTAATGAATTTTTTATGTCACTCTTGTTACAGTCTAATTTATTCCAATGTTTTGTATTTATGTTACTTGTAAATTTTTTTTATATTGTAATTTTTTTTAAGCGACAGAATCTGGAGATCCTTTTTTCCCTTCCTATTATTCCTTCATTTGTACGGAATTATCATTATAAATTTTCTTTTCTTTCTATTCTTTTCTTATATTTCGCCTTCTCTTTAATAGATGTCATTTTCTTAATTCTTTACTTATTTTAAATTTCATACGGAAAAGTTATTGCGCGCAGGTCGAGTTTTTTTTTTTTAAAATTGGATTTAGGTTTTCGAAGAGGAAGTCTCACTCTTTTTGGTGGCACGAGACTCAACGTGTAGCGTCGTTGTGTAGGCGTTTTGGTTGACATTTTGAGTGATTCATTTGGTCATAATTTGATTTAACGCATCCGAATTAATCGGGATCATCACATCGACAATTTATTTGAGAACAAGTTTAAGTTCTTTCTTACGGTTAACCCGGCTATTTTGCGTTTTGAGTCGATTTACTTTTCACACGTGCGAGGCCTTTAACATCTGAGGTATGTGATAGTAATTTAATAGAAATTTAATCATTCAATCATTTATTCAGACACAATCAATACTTATAATATTTGATAATTCCAAAAAAAAAAAAAAAA